ATTTTGAAAAGAATTTTAAAAATTGGTAAATCAAACATGTTTTTTAATTTTTTGATCCAAATGTTAATTTAAAAACTAAATCAAAGGGTTCGTTTTTCTACCATATATTTTGATTCAAACTTCACTTTAGTTCCTATAATTTTAAATTGAATAATTTGGCCCCTACACTATTAACATAGTTTCAATTTACTCATTCCATCCAAATTGGAGTCTAAAATTAACCATTTTAAAACACTTGTCAATCTTCTAAGGTGTACATGTAAACAAAATTAATAAAAACTTAGATGAAATAATCAAATTAAAATTAGATTTAAAGTATAAGAACTAAAGTATTCAAATTAAAATAATAAAAACTAAAATAAAATTGAGCAAAGCAACACATCCACCAAATTCAAGTAATTAATAAGATCTAACTGATCACCAAACATATATGATTATAGTTTAAAAATAGAGTACGAAAGGTGCAGTTTGGGCAAGTGAGGAAGAAAAATTAAGAATATAAAAACGGATAATAAAATGAGATACAAACTCTTTTATATGAGGTGAGTCTTATCTTTTTATAGATCCCACAACTCATGTGAGAAGATTGTGTCCAATTCTTTGATCCTTTTCTGCGTTCCTAGAAAACTAATCCTTGAGGCCAACCTTAATATGTTCAGTTTTTTAAGTTTTTATTTGTAGATCATGTATATGTATATATATATATATATATTGTTAGGTTTTTATTCTTGGCAATCCCGTTTGACAAAACTCCTTTTAGTTGTAATTTTATTCGCTCTTGTATTTCAGCGAGGATATTAGTTTTAGATGCGAATCTAACCCGAATTATGCCTTACAGAGAAGTTTGTGGTGTTTAATTCTTTCAAGATTGCCACTTCGCTGATTATGACGGGGATCGAGCTGCCCAGTCAGCTCGCGGGGGTCCAGGGGGCAGCGCCCCTTGGCGGGGCGGGTCCGGGACAGTGCCCAAGCGGGGTCGAGGGGCAACGCCCCCAAAGCAAAACGCAAAATTACATTTGAAGTTGCCTGCGTCTGCATAAAGACCTGAAAAAGGTGTTTGTTCACTCGAGCAAAGGATGCGTGGCTCAAGCGAAATCACTTATGGAAAACACGCATTTTTGGTTCCTCGCTCGAGCGAGAGAGTCTTCGCTCGAGCGAGCATTGTGATTCAGATTTCTATAAGTACGTGTTTCTGTCATATTTTAGGATTACTACTTCAGATCTTCTTCTTGGGTTCTAAGGTTTATATCTGGGGATATTTTGCTAGTTTTCTTTGATGTTTAATTGAATATTCAACTCATGGGTTAAGAAGAATACATCAAAGGTTCGTTTGTTCATTCTATACAAAAGAGAGAGTTGTTCTTCGGTGGATTCTGAAGAGTTTGAGCCTGAAACTTTGGTGGATTCTGGAGTGGCTCATCGTCAAGACAATTCCGAGGTGAAGACGGGGTTGGAAGAGACACATAAAGGTTGGTTCAATTCGGGTGTGGATTCGCTATGTAATTGAGAGTATACCTGTGTAATTCCTTTATATCTTCTTAGTGAATTATTTTGTGACTGTTGCCCATGGCTTTTTTTTGTGGTTTTTCGACGTAAAATCATTGTGTCGATTTGTCTTAATTGTTTGATTGGGATTGTTGTTTACTGCTTAAAATTGATACATAATCACAAATCAACATCTAGGGGATTTCTAGATTTTTCATATATATAAATTAATTGATTCCATAATGATTTCTTTATATCGATCTTCAAAAAAATGAACAACATATATGATTATTGAATCAATCTAATTTTCTTCATAAATGATCTAATCTGAAAGATAAATGGATCGGATTGTCATAATAAGACTCATGATGGACCTTGCAGATTTGAATATTACTATCCAACCCACTATGATAAGAAAAATATTATATAAATTAATAAATTTTTCTTACTAACTGATATACCAAAAAACCTTTTAATCTAAAATAAAGTCCACTTTAATAATGTGATAAGTGCCACATCAGTGAATAAAAATAAAAATTATAAAACTTATTAAATTGTATGTATGCTTTTAAGTGTTAAATATTCTCATATCTCTTAATAGCTCAGCAATGGCTGCTCCAGATATTTGGCAATTAAATTTGACAAACCTACCTAAAAATGATTTGGTTAAGAGATCAAATCTTGTACTTGAAAAAAGCAAGGACTTAGTCACATATTTAAGTACTTACTAGTCTTCTAGAAGGACTGACTAGCACCATTTGTTTGACAACCCCATAATTTTTATTATTATTCATGTAATAATATAATCACCAAGTAGAGATATCTTCTTCAATTGATCATATATTTTTATCAATTAATGCTCAATTTATTATTTTATTTATTTACACAGATCATCAAAACTTCTTATTAGTACATGTAGTTTCAACTACTCACTAAAAGATATCTAAAACTGATTATTAGTGTTTGTTAATGAAGCATCCCCAGCTAAAAGTCTTTGGGTGTGACTGTATGTACTAGTTGCAACTGAAAATAATAATAAATAAATAATAAATAAAAAAATAGAAAGTATTATATATTCAACAATGATAGAGACCACTAATTTTGAAACTCTAAAAAGATCACTAATAACATGACACTCAATAAAAAAAGAAAAAAAATACAACATCAAGGCCAAAATATCAAATCATTCATGGTGAGGCCCACTACCACATCATTAATGGTAGCACTAATTAGTGCTCTCACTCATATTCCTTATATATTAGAGTAATGCTAGAGATCCCAAATATTCTACCAAAAGTTTTACCAAATGTCTCACATGGGTGTGAGACCCACACAATATGGGTCATATGTGAGTCCCACACCCATGTAAGACATTTAGTAAAATTTTTGATAGAATTTTTGAGACCTCTAGCATTTCTCAACCCACGAGGCTTTCTTCAAACCAAAAGCAAAATGGGGAGGTCCTCCAACTTTGACTAGGAATTTGGAATAAAGTTCCCAGTTAGTCCTTATCCACGTCTTATCATCTCATCTTTTAGCTTTCTTCAGGGTGCGAAACCAGTGTGTTCAACATTTTCTTTTTTTTACCACAATAAAATATTAGCAAGTTAATAAAATTAAACTCCATTGACTTGAACTTTTCAAATAAGTTAAATAATTATAATCAATTTATATATGTGTGGGGCAAGCACAGGGGTGATACGTTGCATATTTTAAAGAGTTATGTTATAAGTATTAAAAAATTTATCAAATATTTGATCAAATATCTCAGAATCAACAGAATCTCACATGAGTACGAAATTTACACTCATATAAAATATTTGATTAAATATTTAATAAAATTTTTAAAATCTTTAACATTTTTGTATTTTAAATGCCCCAAGGACAGTCCTTAACAAAATCTACTAAACAATGTGAAGCAATTTATTAATTATCTCACATTGAAAGAACAAAAAAAAAATATATATATATATATATATATAGTTGGCAAAGCTGACCTAGAGGGTAGATCTGTCAATTTAGAATGGAACTGGGTTAGCCCCACAAATCCATTAGGCTTGCACCCTACCCTACCTAATATCCATGGGCCTCGGCGGTTGGGTTGTACTTTTGGACTAATCCTCTTACTTCTTTTTTATAGAGGGAGTTACAGGCCGATTTTTTTGGAGTTGACTTAATTCCGGAGAAGTCTTGAGCTAAAATAATTTAGCTCATCTTTCATTTTTACCCTTTGCATTAGTTGAGTATTTTTATCCTAAATCCAAACACATCCCTATCTCTATTTCTCTCTCTTCTCTCTCTCTCACTCTCCTATTTATGTCACTGGCACACTATGTCCTCCACCATCACCATATATGTCGCTCGGCTCAACCACACTCGCCTCAACCACCACCGTCGTTCTCCCTCGTTGCCACACCGCTACTCCCCCATCATTCATCTGATAGCTTCAACACTGCAATCTTCCATCATCGATCTACCATCTTCGACATCGTCGCTGCCACCATCTTCCTCCATCACCAGTTTAGGATGCAAAATATCCAATCAGTGCATTGAAAGGTGTTGTTGATCTTCTACAAATGTATAACTGATTTGATAAATTTGTTACTTTCAATGATAAATTTGTTGTAATGCCCCTCTCTCTCAAATCAAGTCTGTTATTTGTAAATTTTTTAACAAATTCAACAGTGATAAATTTATCACTGTAACTCTGGCTAAGATTTGTTGCATGATAAATTTATCACTGAATTAGACTTTTAATTCTGTCTTGATTTGTGACAGCGTAAAATGATGAGAATTATTCTCTGGCAATGACTTCTCCTCTCTCCCCTTCATTCACTTCACTTTCTTTTTTCTCTCATCGCCACGGGATCTGAAGAGGAGGTTGCGGTAGTGACATGTTGGAGATGAAAAATGACCCAAAAAAATATTGTCGGAGGTTTACAATTTGGAGTTCAAAAACAAACAGGAAATTAGGAAGAAAAAAAAAACCAAACGCGCAATAGTATAACAACAGGTACAAAGTCGGGATAAAAAAAATATAACAGGACTTGCTGGTGCATGAGATAGAAACTTAGGACCTAATAGGTAATGGATTCAATTATTGGGACCGGCTAGTAAAAATGCCTTTTTTATATTATGGAAAACTCCAATTAGCCCATCCGATATAATTCACTATGAAATCTCATGAATAAACTTCAAATACACATAATTTATATCCCCTAAGGTTGTATTTAAATCTTAGATTTGGGTAGGAACTTAGAAAGGAAAAGAGAAAAAGGTAGGAGAGATGTGAATAAAACATAAACTAAATTTTTTCTACACTTTCCTTTTCCCTTTTTAAATCCCTATCAAAATTCATGATCCAAATACAATGTTATAAGCAACTATGCAGTAAACAAACAAATTGCACTATCTTGCATGGAGATCACAATTAAACTATCTATATATGTTCAAATGATATATAAAAGATACAACATCTTGAGCAAAAGGCTTAGCCCAAAATTCAAGTCAAAAAATAAATAAATAAATAAACATCTTCATAGATTGCAAGAACTTAGCAAGGGGGAGTCACTGAAATAGATGGAAGCCACAATGTTTCATGCTACAGTAGAGAGTTTCCAAACATGCCATAGTAAAATAAAAGAGATGAATGTAAAGGAAAAGATTACCAATGAAGTTTTTCTTTATATCCAAACACACATGATGTACTCTTGAGTGAAGACGGTTTTTTCCTATAGAAATAGCACAAGGAAAGATCTAAGCCAACATTCACAAATAAATTGATTCACCATCTGCCAAACAGAAATGATTAATGGGAATGGATTCAACGAAGTAGCTTTGGCGGCCTTCATATGAAACAAAATGTACTGTTATACTGACTGAAGGCCAGTATCGAGTGTATTCTGCTAACAGAGCAATAGTGGATAAATCACAGAATGGAAGCAGCATAATACCGTGATGCTATCCAAGGCCTCTTACATACTGGTCAAGTGTTGTATTGAATAGTTCACATCTGCACCAGCAAGTACAGCTACATGTGATTAGAATCAACAACTACTACACTGGAGGAGCAAAAAATGAAACTTCTTCTCCAAACAATTTCTAAGAAATATACCGAACAACAGTCCATGGAGACCATTGATTAACATAAAATGCTTGTTCCAAAACCCATACATCATACATGTACAACTAATTGACCAATTTAGCAAGAGATGGGTACATCTATATAACTCGTCATCAGCTATCCAACAACCATACGAGGTACCTAATACTGGAACCTCCAAAGGAATGAGATGTGGTATAACCTTTGTTACATGGACTTAGATTCGGGTGTCGGGTGCGGATATGTCTCTACGTGTCCAATTCATTTAATTCTCATCTCCAAGAAACGAGGACACAACAAATATTCAAGTCTTATTAATATACTTTTTGAGAAAATAAAGGGAAAGATTAGAAGATAGAACCCCAAAAGGTAACAAAACATCTTCAACTTCTTTGAGGTGGAAAATACCAGATTAATTTGGAGAAAAACGCATTACGAAAAAAAAACTTATAAGCGTAAAAGAAAAGAGCAATGCTACATGCACTAAAAATCCTACTAAAAGCATGTGTACAAACATCATTGGATATCTACATTACAAGGTTTGAAATTTCAAAGGTACCTGTGTCGACACGATGCAGATACGGGTGCGGGATAGAGATAGGGATACGGCTATTTAGAAACGGATAGAAGAAACGAAAAAGGAGAGCAAACAGAAAACCTTATCGTCGACTTCAATATGACCTAGTTGAAGAGCCAAATCGAAAGACCCATGCAAAGTCGAAGTCGAAGTCGAAGATCGATCTCCAAAGCTTGATGGATCTGCGAAGTTAATCGACTGTGTTCCTTCGTCTTCCCCTTTGGTGTCTCTCTCTCTCTCTCTCTCTCTCTCTCTCTTCTCCTATCCTCTATTTGTCTCACTTTTATTTTTAATATAATTTGAATTATATATAATATAAACTATATTAATATAATATTATTCATATTATATAATATTATTCACCCAAAAAAATATTATATAATATAATACATCATAAATAACTTAATTTTTATGCCTAAAATTAAAATAATTTATTTTATCATATATAATATAATTTATTTTATGTCTAAAATAATTTTTATAATTTTTATTTATTATTTATTTGTTATTTTTTTTAACAAGATTTGTTATATTCCTTAACTTTTTTAAACTCATCTTCATATAATAAATATATTTTAAAAATAACCATTTAATGTATTTTAACCCCGTTCCCGTATCCAAATTTGGATCCATATCCACATATCCTCAATTTTTAATTTTAAAGTGTCCGACCTCCAGATACACACCCGCACCAAGTACCTGCACCCGAGTCCATGTAACATAGTTGCATATTCAAGAAACATTGCTTGTTTGACAACCAATCATATTTGACCTCCTCCTTTTAGTAACAGTGTTAGTGTCCATAGAATTATTCAAAAGGACAAGAAAAAGAACTAGTCTTTCTTTTTATTTGTTAGGTTACATTTTATTTTATTTTTTTAGAAAGGCACCAATGGGTTGCGACCACATAGTAAGAAAAGAAAAACCCAATGGGAGAAGATCTAAGTTAGGGAAGAATTACAATTGGAATAGCATGCTTCTATGAGTGATCCATAGCCTAGCAGGAGTTGGTGGGCTAGGTTAGATGGGATGGACTTTGGTCAAAACTCAACTGCGGTGTTATGGTTGGAATAACCTTGTTTTTTAGGATAAGTATAACTTCAACAACCTTTCTCAGAGGATGAGAATTTGAGATTTGAAGTCTGTTGAAGAGGAAGTGCAAGTAAGTTGTTAATTATTGTAAGTTTGTAACCCAACTTGGTATATTTTCGTTAATTTAATTAATTAATTGAAAAAAAAAGAACATGGGTATGCGCAACCCACATACAGAAGCTACATACACGTAAAACCTATACACTACATACACGTAAAACCTATACACCAATACATCAACTGATTGACTCAAAAATCCATAGAATCTGCAAACTCTAAAAACATATCCTCAGAAGATCAACTGTGTCTGGTAACAAATAATGAAACAACCTAGAAGACTTGCCCTTCACATGTTGGACTGAACCCTTCATTCCACAATGATTAGAATCTTCCAAGCCACATCCAACCAAAAAGGGCTAACTTGAATTGAACTTCAGCTCCCACATTACTTGCCATTAGATTGCAAACTGTTTTACTTCAAGTTTGTTCCTTTACTTTTAAATTGTCAAAAAAATGTCTAGATAGAGTTCATGCCTGTTAATTCATGGTACAACATTTGCTAACAATAATAAGGATTACATGAGAAAACCAACTTTACAATTATACATGCATTTTACTAGTGAAAAAAAATAAAATTCAATCACTATTTTGTTAGTTGAACTAGCTTTTACTCCCTCAATTCCAGCCTAGTCCTATCATATGCGGAATGTGTCAGTTTTTAAACATATTCAGTTCAATTACTTCACTAACCATTCATAAATAGATTTAAATTTGTGTTTCCAGCCATTTCCATGTCTTTCCAAAATATATTTTGCTGTTTTTATGTTTCCAGGATGTCTCCTGAACATTTCAATTTGCAAGCCAACTGAAATGGCAGACAAAAGGAAATTTTGATTCCAATTTCCAATAAAGATGCTTCAAAGAATGTTTCCTAATTTCTAATCTCTCCCATGTTTTTGCCCATCACAGTTTATTTATAACTTGAAGAGACCTATACCTGTGGCCTTTTAGTGGCTTGTACATTTTAGTTCGTGCATAGCATGCTTAGAGAAAAGAGGACATCATAATAACCTCGAGAGAAGAAATATTGTACTAGAGTTTGTCATTGACATATAGACAACAATTACAGAAGATCATGTTTAACAACACGATGGGTGGGAAAATTAATATTGGAGCAAAATCTCCTTTACCCCCCCAACAGTTCAGGCCTGAAGAACTTTACCCCCTGTCGTTTAAAATAGTCATTTTGCTCCCATGTGCTTTTGAACTAAAATGCAATACTAACACCATTAACAAAAGACATAGAATGACCTTAATACCAGTCTTCTCCTATCTTCTCTCCTCTGTCTATATCTCCATATAAATCAAAGATTGTATATATATACCCAACTTTATATATACACTGCATATAATCACATAAATATTGCACTTAAGAATTTCTGATGAAGATCTTATCTAATTTGATGGTAAACATATAAATAAATTTCCAATACATAGCTAAGAACACCATTTTTTCTTATGCCAGTTAAGGCATTGTGATTTAAAGAATTTCAACATTCTGTTCCATTTTCTATTTCTAACAGACTCTACCTACAGAAACACTCAGAGCAGCATGAGTATAACTTAGGAACAAGGAGTTGTTGCTTCAATATTTTACTTGATAAGAATTACAAGAAAAATGACAAAAAATTCTAGTTGTGTAATCAAATGCTGCATTTCAGGAACCTGGAAACTCTAGCAGCAACCAAAAAATCAAATTCAAGAAATAAGGCAACCAATTTGTCTCCGAGTTGCAGATCTACAGAGTCATGGGGAAGGGGAGAAGAGGTGGCTGCAAAAACTGGGGACGGGAAAGGGGGAGGCGTAAGGTGGAGGATAAGGTTGGGTGGGGGGTGGCAGGGAAAGAGTCGAGATAGCAGGTGAGGATGGGGTGACTGGGAAGGAGGGAGGAGGTGCTGGGGAAGTGGCTAAGATCACTCTCTGAGTATGAAACAACACTAGAAAGGGTCAATTTCCATTGTCGGAGGCACGCATAACATCAAGCCTGATCATCCAGTTGTTGGCAGCACCAGCAACTTCTCATTCGTTCAACAGTATGTGATGTTGTCTCCGATGGATTTGTTGGGACAACTGTTGTTTACAAGATTGAGTTTCACCTTTACTGACCTCCATATGCAACTCATAAATCATCACTTGTAGATTATTCACAATTCCTAGATAACTTTGAAATTTCTTTTGTGAGCATGAAATAAGGACAAGTTTGTCCTTTTACTACGATTTTGCCTAACAACTTCCAAAAGTGGTGGGTTGTGTACAAATTCTATCAATTTTGACTGAATTAATAACAGTAAGGAGGTAAAGTGCAAAATGGTCAAAACCACATGAAGCCTCTTTGAATATTTTTTAATAACAGGGGGTAAAGTGCTCTAAGGTCAATCTACTAGGGCTTAAAGTGGATTTTGCCCTTAATATTATATATTCTCAGGCATATGTGCCCTCCACAACATCATTTTTGGAAATAAACTTTTGAAAAAGCAAATATATATATATATATATAATTATTTATTTAGTTATCAAAACTACACAAGAAATTCAAAAGGCGTAGTTCTTTAAAGTTCTCTTACAATGTACCCCTTAAGTTTTAAGATTTTATCTTATCAAAAAATATATATATATATATATATTAAAGCAAACTATGTCTACCATCTTTCTAATTTTGGGTAGTATTTTACATTCTTTACCAAATAGCAAGCTTCAATACCCTTTCTAATCAAGAAAATAAGTAGAAAATTTTGATAAACCGTTTATGAAGTTTGATGAAAAGTTATCATTTACAAAGGAGTGTTATTTATGTGTGTCAAGCCAGAAAATTTTGCTAAACCGTTTATGAAGTTTGATGAATAGTTTTCATTTACAAAGGAGTGTTATTTATGTGTGTCAAGCTAGAAAAGACCAATGACTGCATGGTAAAAAATGTGAGCAGGTTAAATCTAGTCAGTAATGAAACTTGTTTTAGATTGAATAAATTAATCCTTCCAATATTTTCTCTATTTGGTTATATTTTGCTCAAAAACTATTCTCCAAAATGGTAGAAGGCACCCGTCAAGGACAACAGCCCAATCAAATTAAATTCTACATAGAAAATCTCCGAGGTGTCATGCAGCATTTAAAACCCTTAGCTAATAGGTCATCATATAAGTGTTTCACAATGATAAAAATAAGATAGAAAATTTATATCACTCACCTGATTGGAGTTCCTGGAGTATAGAGTGGATTTTTGACAACGTATTCAACATACAAATTGTAAATATACTTCAGGGAATCCCTTAGATCACCAGTCCTGGGATGAGTGACGAGAATGATCTGCAAACAAATTTATATGTAGTTGTACAATGAGAACTGTGTGGTTACACAGATACCAAAAATTAGTAATGAGAGCCTAAAGTGAAGTGAAGTGAATTCTTTCTTTCAGTGTCGTGCTCTTACAAGTAGTCTCGTGTAAATCAAAAACTTCTCAATTTTAAGTATAATGCATTGTAAAAATTCAAAACAAAACCTTTCTTGCATAAGGGACTAACTTGTCACGTCAAACAAGACATCTTAATGACCTTAATCCTATCATTCCAGTCTAAAGTATGCACAGCACCACGTTGCCATTACATTGAATACATCAATTAATGTCACTGAGAACACAAGTTTTCTTATCAAAGACTTTCATATGACCTCATCACGTGATAGTCACATCCATATTTGGGAGCTCAACATAACTCCTGTGGATCCACAACTTTTTCTGATAAAAACCCCCAAATGGAAATCATTCAAGTTGAAGCACATTACCGCTTCAACAGAAATTTCACAATTGCACTAATTGCATGCGTGTGATAGCAAGATAAGTAAATGAATATTTTACTGACCTTTATACCAGATGGACTCTCCATAAAACTGAGTTTGTACGTATTGGTACGAAAGCTGTGAAATGAACACCCTTGTCCAGGTAACTGAGGCACCCCAAGATTTCCCTTCTCCGCACTGTCCAAAAGAGTAATTATAAATCATACAATCATTGAACACCAACCACAACCAAAATAATTAAAAACAATGCCTGGCACAACATTTGGACCTCAATGAAAAAATTAGCTCCAAATCCAAACAAGTGATGAATCATGAATCTATTACAGTGTGAGACTCCAATACCAAACAAAATATGTCTAACAAACAAATGCCTATTTCAACAAAAATTTAATCAATCTCCAAGCTAAGAATAGATATGGAGTTAATAACGCCAATAGATGATACAGGAAGAGTTTTCTGTTATAGGAATCAACATATCACATATGGCATTAGAACCACTTATAGTGTTTCTAATACCATCTTATGGATCCCAAAACAAACAGCATATGCATGTCAAATTATTAGTTTTCTTTGCACAACCAAAATATTTTCTGTTTTATATAATCAAATGAAATTTTTTAATTTCTATGGGAAATCAAAATACTCACGCAAACATATTATGTTTGAAATTCAAAACTTGAAGAAGCAAAACAAACCTTGTTGGATCCATTTTTGCAGTCAAGGATTTAAGGGAAAAAAGTAGACCGAACATGAGCTTGTGGTCCTGCTGGGCATTAAGGGTGTGCAGTGGACGATTCCATTCCCTATAAAGTAGGCACACCCCATTCCTATTGAACACGTACATCATGTGAGCATTGTTTCCCGACACCGTCGGTGCCGGCGGTGATGGACTGATCTCTGACCCTCCAAAGAATTGCATTTCTCCTGATTGTCAAATCAAACCAAATGAATTCAGTGGATCAGATTTCAGTTGCTGGGGAAAAAACGATTTTTGGGAGAAAAGCTAGGATATCTAAAGCACAAACCAAAGCAATTCAAACACTCATTAGAGATAGATCAGGCTGTCATCAGTCAATCTCAGCTACATTTCAGAGATTCTATAAATTGGATCTAAACAATGAGTTCAAATCAAAAAATAATAGGCATAGGCATTTCCACTGATCATATGCAAAATCTCAACACAACCCTGCCATCCATCTTCAAAAAAAACTATCGACAATCAAAAACCCGATTATAACAATACCCAAGAGTAACACCCGAGGCTTGTTATCTTCTCTATACTCCTTTTTTTTCCATTTTCATCTTTTTTCTTTAATTTTCCAAACAACATCAACAAAAATCAGCTGAAAAAACATTTATTTCCATCTTCACAATGCCCAAATCCATTTCGATAAAATCACAATGTTGAAATTCATTCGCAGAAATCAAGACAAACAGTCACATAAGATGTCACAATACATTTCCAAAAATTCACAGTGATAGCATTTTTCAGCAACATTCAAAGGAATAACAGCACAGGATGCAATAACAGAGCAAAAATGTAGGATTTGGAAAAGGAAAAAACTGGAATCAAAAATAATAAAGAACAAAAATTTAGAACACAATAGTAAATTGTGTGTGTGTGTGTGAGAGAGAGAGAGAGAGAGAGCGAGAGAGAGAGAGAGAAAAGAAGATCATACAGGTCGAGAGAGAGAAGAAGATCATACACTAGTGCTCGGAGTTGCAGATGAGTACCGATCGAAGAGATGGAGAGTCTCCCTCAGGGATCGCACTCCACGATGTGGAGACACAAATTGACTGCTATTTTTCCCTAATTTGGGTTTGATTTTTAGTTTTTACCCCAAAAAAATATTATTCAATCAACTTTTTTATTAAACAAATAACAATTAATAATTTTTTATTTATTTATTTATTTTTATTTTTTTGCAAGTGTGTGCGTTCGAGAATCATACTAAAGGGTAGATTGGTAAAACAAAGAAGTTGTGTTTCCAGCTCTTCCCAAACGGTGGTTCAGCGTTTTTATTACACTCCAACGTTTTGATTTTTGGGATGAGAACCCAGCGTTTTGGAAAGGTTCCCAAAACAGCACTAAAGGGTTATTTGAGATAATCTAAATAAGTGTATTTTTTAATTTTTTATTAAAAAACGTAAAATATAGATTGAATCAGATGAGTACCGATCGAAGAGATGGAGAGTCTCCCTCGGGGATCGCACTCCACGATGTGGAGACACAAATTGACTGCTATTTTTCCCTAATATGGGTTTGATTTTTAGTTTTTACCCCAAAAAAATATTATTCAATCAACTTTTTTATTAAACAAATAACAATTAATAATTTTTTATTTATTTATTTATTTTTATTTTTTTGCAAGTGTGTGCGTTCGAGAATCATACTAAAGGGTAGATTGGTAAAACAAAGAAGTTGTGTTTCCAGCTCTTCCCAAACGGTGGTTCAGCGTTTTTATTACACTCCAACGTTTTGATTTTTGGGATGAGAACCCAGCGTTTTGGAAAGGTTCCCAAAACAGCACTAAAGGGTTATTTGAGATAATCTAAATAAGTGTATTTTTTAATTTTTTATTAAAAAACGTAAAATATAGATTGAATTTAAAGTGACGTGATAGAGAAATAATGTGATTTAAATGAGATGATGTGACTTAAATAAGATAATGACTTTTTAACTTTTTAAATTTTTTATATTATGTCAAACTAGGCTTAAATTTAAATTTAGACGCCATAAAATTATAAAAATAAAAATAAAATTTGTATTTATATTTATATTTATATAAAGAGAATAACAATTCTTTTTAATAAAAGGCCAAAATTATTTCTTATTTTTACAACGGGTGAATTGCAATTTTTTACTTTGGTTGATCAAAATTTTACTTTAATTCTTATTGTTTCAATTTAAATAAATTAATCCTTATTAGTTAAGTCTAATTTTAATTTGATTGTCCCCCTCTAAATAATCATCAATTTTTTTTTATGCAAACATCTTAAAAGACTAACACGTGTAACAAATTCATTAATTTTAACAAAATAATCAAATTAAAACTGAAAGTGTACAAACCACATTATTTAAAAAGCAAGTTAGAGATGCAAAGAATTCTATCAAATATTCTTATGGATGTGGCGGGTCTCACACTTATGTAAATATGGTAAACATTTTGATTAAATATTTGAAATTTCTAATATTTTATTTATTTAAATTAAAATAAAGAAAAATTAGCCTAAGGTTCCTCTCCAACTTTTAATAGAAGGAGAGGTACACAATAATATGTTATGATGGCTAAGGTCCCTCAACTTTATTTTATGTTATGAAATACCTAATTTACCCTCGTTATAACATAAGATCGTTTGGATTTTGGCAAACTGCTGACTTCACAATGAGATTTTTGAAACTGATTTCACGGTAGAGATTTTGTCAGAATTTTGTAGGGATTTTGCAAGTGTTGCAGTGGACTTCACGATAGAGATTACGACGATCGTGTAGGTGTTATAGTGTGTTGATCGCATAGGTTTTGCAATGGAGTTGAATCAGGTATGGTTTCGATAGAGATTCCACATGAATTTTTTATTTTTGTTTTGAATTTTATGTAAGGATTCCGATTTCATATTAGTTTTTTGAGTGTATTTTTGCATTAGGTTTTTGTTTTCAATTTTGATCAATTTAAAAGAGAGGCTAGCTTAGTAAAATTGTTTATGATTTTTGGAGTTGATTTTTCATTTACTGTTATTAATCAATTTTAGACAGAGGCCAACTTGATAGAGTTGATTTTTATTTTTGGAATTAATTTTTCATTCTCTGTTTTTTGATCAATTTCAAAGAGTGTTGACAGTGTGGTTGATTTTGATGTTTAGAGTTCATTTTTCATGCTCTGTTTTTCATCAGCATGCTGATCATAATTCATTTTTCATGCTCTGTTTTTCATCAACATGCTGATCAATGATAAGTTTTGTTCTCTATTTTTTCAAATCAGAGAAATTTGTTTAAACTAGAGAAATTTCATTCTCTACACTTTTGTTGGTATAGTCCAGAGAAAATTGTTAATTTGTTATTATAATCCAACAAAAATGAAAGAGAAAATTATAAGTTCATATAGACATATTATTAGTTTCTAGTGCAGATTGAATTTAAGAAGGTGAATGTAAGTTCTTAAATTTTTCTGGACTTTTATTTGTAGTTAAGAGAAAATTATAAGTTTGTTATTCATTTTCAGTTTGTAGTTCAGAGAAAATTATAAGTTTGTAGAAAATGAATATAAGCTTTTGTTTCTCTGAGCAAAAGTTATTTTTTGTGTTTTTTCTTTCAGTTTAGATGGGCAGTGCACTATTTTTAGGGAATCTTGAAGGTGTATATGAGTTTGTAAATTTCTTTGGATTTTGATACGAGTGTAATATTGCAGAATGACGCAAAGAAAATTGTAAGCTTGTACTTCAGTGAAAATCACAAAGAAGCTTATAATTTTATAACAGATTTTCCGTGTGTTTTTTGTCTATGATTGTGTTTAATAATTAGCAGTAAATTTCTCTGTGATTCTATCTAAATTCATTAATTTTTCTGTGATTTTGTTTTTGTTATCTTGAAGGTGAATATAAGTTTGTAAATGTCTCTGGACTTTTATTTGAATCCAGAAAAAATTATAAGCTTGTTATTATAATCTAAAGAAAATTATAATTATTAGAAATTTCTCTAGACTTTTATGTTGTTCTTGTGAATTGTTTTTATGTTGAACAAATTATTTGTCTTATTTTTTTCTTTCAGTTTTGATGGACAGTGCAGTGTTATTGCTGTGCAAATATGGGAATGATACTATTGTCATTAATGTTTCATGCGGATTAAATTTTGAGGAATTGGTTGGCATTTTGTATAAAACATGGGAGAATTTGCAACCTGAGACGATGTGTATTTCATATTCTATTGTGGGCCATCCAAATTGTATGGTTCAAAATGATATTGATTTTCTGAATATGTTAAGGGTTGTTTATGCGCGTGGTGTTGATATAGTTGATGTTTCAGTTACTAGATATAGTACTTCTGATCAAGAGGATAAAGTGGGGTCTAATTGGATAGATGTTGTGGATGGTGAATGTGATAGGCTGGTGGATATTGAAAGGAATTCACTCTCTAAGTTTTGTTCTCACCAAGAAAAGGTGTTATTGTCAGCTGGTTGGCGAAATAATATTGCGAGTGTTGGACAAAAGTTTGAGGGTGGTATGGTTGAGTTCCGTACTGTTTTATGCAAGTATGCTATTGAGGTTGGCTTTCAGTTTACGTATGTTAAAAATGACAAGCTGAGGGTTATAGCAGAATGTGCATATAAGGAATTAAGGGGATGCATGTGGCGTGTACATGCTTCAGTTGAAAAAACAAATGCGTTCTTTTACATAAGAACTTTGAACAATGAACATACGTGCGATGTAGCAGTTCGTACTAGTGAACATGTTAGGATGACATCCAGCTTAGTTTCTGGGCTAATACTTGAAGAGGTAAGTGCAAAACCTTTAACTCGTCCAGTGGATGTTGCCAAAGAAATGAAAGACAAGTATGGGGTCTCAATCAGTTATAACTGTGGTTGGTTAGGGGTTGAAAAAGCAAAATGTAGTACATATGGGGATTCTTGTTTGTCATTCGATCAGTTACGGTGGTATTTTGATGAGGCATTGAAGAACAATCCAGGTAGTTGTTTTGAGTTAGATTTTGAAGATAACAAGCGTTTCAAAAGAGTGTTTGTGGCTTTTCATGCATGCATTGCTGGTTTCAAATATTGTCGGTCATTGCTTTTTCTTGATGGAACATTTTTGAAAGGACGATACAAAGGAGTTATGCTTGCTGCAACGGGGAAAGATGGGAATGAAGATAATTGTAAATATATCTAATTTTATCTAAGTATGTGAATTTTCTATACATGTAGGAATTGAGTGAATGTGATTTTTCTCTGACACTTTCAATTTTCTCTGGTTTTGGCCACTGTATGGATTTTCTATAGTTGTGGCCACTGTGAGAATTTTCACTAGATTTTAGTCAGTGTGTGAATTTTCTCTGGGTGTTGTCATTGTGTGAATTGTATCTGTAGTTGGTCACTAAGTGAATTTTGTGTGGATGTTGCCAATGTTTGAATTTTATCTATAGTTGGTCACTAAGTGAATTTTCTCTGGATATTCTGATTGTGTGAATTTTCTCTGTAGTTGGTTGCTAAGTCAATTTTCTCTGGATGTTGCCAATGTGTGAATTTTCTCTGGATGTTGGCAGTGTCAAATTTCTCCGGTTGTTTATTGTTCTAGTTTTCTCTGCATGTATATATCTAATATGCTTGTTCCTATTTGTTTTGTAGGTTTTTTTCCTATAGCTTTTGTTGTTGTTGTTGATGCTGAGAATAAAGACAATTGGTGTTGGTTCCTTGAACATTTATGTGGAGTATTGGGATTAGAAAGGGTGATAAGTTTCATATCAGATCGACATTGCGGTATTGTGGAAGGAATTGCTAAGTTTTTCCCTAACTGCTTTCATGGATTTTGTCTTGAACGTCTAAAGAGAAATTTGAGGGATAAGTTGTCATGTGGAAACACAAATTCGGTTAGGGAGACGATTGTGTCTAAGTTTTCAGAATGTGCATATGCACCAACAAAGGCATCATTTCATTTCAAGTTAAATGAATTAAAAAGTGAGGGAGGAGACGTTGTAAATGTTTTCTTGAGAAGTTTACCGTATGAAAATTGGAGTGATGCATATTTTAAGGGAAAACGTTATGGTGAAATGTATTCAAATGTTGCTAAGTCATTCAATTCATGAATACGAGAAGCTCGGCACTTGCCAATAACAAATTTGGTGGACATGATACGGTTGCAAATCATAAATATG